AAGAAGAAGAAGAAGAAGAAGAAGAAGAAGAAGAAGAAGAAGAAGAAATCAGATTGAGCCAGCCATGGGGGGCAAGTCAGCAAGCTGTTTTAGTTCCTGACTCCAGGTTCCTGCCTTGGGTGCCTGCCCTGACATCCCTCAGGCATGGGCCTGAGAGCTGTGAGCCAAAATAAACCCTTTCCTCCTCAAGTTGCTTTGGTCACGGTGTTTTATTACAGCAGTAGAAACCCTAACTAAGGCGGATAGTCTTAGTCCCCCAGTGGCTGTCTCTCACTGGCAGGATCATGTGATGTCTCCCTCACTGGCCTGGGAGTCTCTACATAGACCAGGCTGGCCTCAAGCTCACAGAGATCTGCTTGCCTCTGCTTCCCGAGTGCTGGGATTAAACACCTATCCCACCTTACCAAGACAAATTTGCCCAATTCTTCACATCACAGTACTCAGGTATTCTTCTTCAAAGGTTTCTACATCCTTGGCTGACCCTAACTCAGGGATATCTGAAGGATTTCTGGGTGCCCACCCCCTCCTGAGGGCTACAGTTTAACCCGCCTCCTCCCTATAGCCTGGCTGTCCATCTCCGCCAGCAGCTTCATTCAGGGGCCCTGAGACTTTCCAACCAGAACACAAAAAGCCTTTCTAGGGCTTTGCCCCAGCTCCCATTTGTTTTCCTGACAACATGGCCACTTCGCTGGGCCAACTTCTGGTGGGCTGGAGGTACCCACTGGTCATGAGAGAAACTCTGCAGACAGCAGCGAAACAATGGGAGCTTTTCTGGCTCAAGGCTAGCCTGTGAAAATGGGTTGGGTCTAGACATGGTGGGGCTGAGGGAACTCTGGGGATGGAGAAATTAACAGCTGATGACCAGCCCTGCTGTCTGCGTCTGGATTCCTGATGTCCATGTTTCTTGGGCTAAAAACTTCCCACTGTGAAGTCCCTTAAGTGCTGGTGTGTGCTAAGCCTGTCATTTGCGACCATAAGCCCCGGCGAATGAACACACGGATGATGAAGCTGACTCAGGGGCGTGCGAGACAGAGAGACCCAGAAATGAGGAGCTGGGTCTCAGAGTGGATCTCTGCATCCCCAGAAAGTCACCTCCTAAGTTCCCTCAGGCTCCTAGACTGGCTGCTCCACACAGTGTCCCCTCCACACACTCTTGCAGGAGAGATCTACCTGCCTGAAGTACTCCAACCGCTGCCGGGCTGCCTTTCCAGCTGGCCCTGTCCATTGGAAAGCGGAGTCTGGGGCATTGTGCCGGCTGGCATGCAGAGTACAAAAGATTTTGGAGCCAGCGGGAACACAAAAGGATGGCAGCAGTAGCAGCTGTTTGCCGAGGGAACCTGAGACTGTGCTAGCTCACTCCCTAATCCCCAGCCCCTGTGGAGCCAGGGACAGGTTCCCCCAAGGTCAGCTCCCCCTCTCCCGGTCACAAACAACTGACACCTCCTTCCTCCTCTTGGGCCGGATGCCCTACCTCTTTTGTTGCCTTCTGTCCCTCTCCCTTTGGGTTTTGGGGTTCCTTTCAGATATTTCCCCTTTCACGTTCAGGTCTCCTCTAGTTTCGCCTGTGTACCCCGCCCCCCTCCTCACCCTAATTCCTAGCAGTAATTTTAGCAAACTTTCCGCTGGTCTCCACTGGCATGTTCACAGCAAATGGCTCCTGTTTGGGCTTGACATTCGATCAATGTGGTGACAGAGCCCAGACAAAGCAGACACAATGCCTGATGGGGGGGGGGGGGGGTAGGGAGGCAGATCACCTTCCTTCCACCCAGGCCTTATTTGGTCTACCTTAGTGAAGCGGCCCTCCCTCCCGGCCCTCTTTATTTATAGCCTTTGCTTGGTGTCCTTTGTCTTGTCTGCTGTCACTCTGTAGTGCACTCTGGTCACCACCCCCTCCTCACATGAGCAGAGCCCCCACTCTCCCCACGAGGAATGTGCATGCGTGCAGAACGCGGGCTACAAGCAGTCGGATGGGCGAAGCTGCCCAGAGCAGGCGTCTTTGCTTTGGTTCGTTGTTCCCTATTTCCCATTGACTAGAACAGTACCGAGCTCATAGTAGACGCTCAATAAATGCTTGCTTAGGAAAGGGTGGGCAAAGACACCCAACCTTCCAACAGCAGCAGCAAACAGAAGACTCGAAAGCAGGTGTCGGAGGGGCTGGAGACGGAGTGGGAATTTTGAAGGGCACCAGACCCTCGGGTCTGGGATATGAGACATGGAACTTAAAGTTAGGAAAGTGATTTATATTCTGCGTGGGGCGTTGAGAGCAATACACCTAAATCCCCATAGACCAGAGCCCTCCAAACCTGGACGGCGGTGGAAAAGGGGAGTGATTGTAAGTTACTGATTGTAGAGACAGCTTCCCAATCATCCCTCAGCCAATCCCCAGCCATGCAGGCTAGCCCTGCCTAAAGACACTCATTTTAAAACGACACACCTCTGTTCCAGGTATTCTTTATCATCTCAGTTGTATGCCCCTGTGCCTGAGTCCTGACCCTGAGCTGGGCAAGATGCCATCTTCATACTTTGTGCTTAGAAAGCTAAAAGCGTATGAAAGAGCTGTTGCCTTCCTCTGATGCTAGAGGTTCTTCCTAGTGAGTCTGATCTATTGATATCTGGCAGGGTCAGGAAGGGACCCCCAGAATTTGTTCTATTGAGCATGTCAGCAGCAGAACCTGCTCCTTAGCAACTGCAACTTCATGCTTGAGGACTGCAGAGCTGCAGCTGCCATGGGATGCACCCCCTATAGTCTGTGGTTTATCCCCCACTCCGCACTGTGAACAGGGCTGCTCTGTGTCCTTAGACCGGGCTTTGGTTACCAAGAAACCCCAGAGCAGCCCTTCTTGGAATTTCCCTTCCCTGCTGAGTCCATCCCACCTTCAAAATGTACCTGCTTTGCGCCCCATCCCCCAAGCCTGCCTCTCTCCTTCAAACATCGAATCAGCTGGATTAATCCGCATGCACTCAGAGCTGTGCTTGGAAAAGAAAAAGAAAAAAGGAGCGGGGGGGGGGGGGTTCAAACCAAACCATGAAGCGGTTGCCTAGACACGGAGCAGCGAAGCTTGCTAGGCCCTGCAGCAGGAACAAGGACCGACTGTGCGCTGTCCAGCGGCTGGACGCTAGCGTGGCTCCCGGTCCCTGCAGGGAAAGGAAAGATTTTTTTTTCCTGTCCTGTCTCTCTCTCCACTTGCAAGAACAAAGATTGCATCCATGTCTGAACAGAGGTCGGGTGGACCAGCAACAGTAGCTGTATTATCTACAGCCCTGGTAGGCTCACTCCTGTGCCCCTCGCGTCTGCAGGGCAGAGCGATGAAAACAGTCAGGAAAGAGGACCAATAGGTAACTGGTCCTCCACACATAGTGGGCCATTACCTTCCACGGAATTCCTAGTCCCCCGTCCCTGGCGAGGATCAACTTCCTATCTGCTGAGGTTCCCCCACCTTGCTCCCCTGAAGCTGTGGGACCTTAGAGGAAGCACTCTCACCTCCGCAAAGTGAAGCACGTAGGTGGATCACACTAGAGACCTGCCTGGCTCAGTGATCTCAGCACATTGCCTGCCGACCCCGTGAAAAGCCATGCCTGAGTCAGCTCCAGTGTCTAAACTCTCTGATCATTCTTTTTACTACTTAACCAGGAAGCTGCCTCCTGACTGCTCCAATCCAACTACCACACCAGGGCCGTGCCCCCAACTCTGCCCTGCCCCGCTTTGCTGTTGTGATACAACCCCTTCCCACCTCAGTCAGATGTGGGACTCAGGCCAGGAGACTGGGGAGGGTACTGGAAATAGGACCAGGCTAGTGCTGGGGGCAAGGGCTCTAAGGGGCAGCAGTGCCAGGGCCCAGGCCAGGGCTCTGTCTGCCTGAGGTCACGGTGGTCGTTGTCAGCTCACTCTCCAGTGAGCTGCGGAATGTAAGAGATATTTTTGCTTCACTCTGAGCCACCCCGCCCCCTGGAACTCAGACCCTGAACATGCCATGCCACAACAATGACGACCACTTCCAATTGTTTCCTGGCTGAAGGGGGGGGGAGGGCGAGTACTGTTTGGACAAGG